ACTGCTACAGGCCCTGCTGTCTGCTCTCTGCAGGGTCCTGTAGCAGTGTGGAGCAGGCAGGTCCACAGTGAGCAGTGAACCACAGGGAGCAGGCCTAAGCATTCAGTAGGACATCCCCTGAGTGCTCCCAGATTGGAGAGGGTGCAGGTCAGGCTGAGAGGATCCGCCTACCCCCTCCCCCTCCCGTGCATGAATTTCATACACTGGCCTCTAGTTTTTATAATAATAACTTTAAAAACAGTGGCTTAAACAAAACAGAAATATATTTTTTTCTTACATAAGAAGTATGGAGGGGATCTAGACATTATTTTTCTGATCCATAATCTATAAGGTCATCTCAAGACCCAAGATATCTGCTGAGCTCTTGCCATTAGACCCATATTCCAGCCATCAAGGAGGGCACACGCAGGCTCCTCTTGGTTGAATTAGTTCTTTTAAGAAAGCTCTTTCAAAATTTCCACCCAAAGCTTTCACTTATATCACAAGACACATGGCACCAAATAAGTCCAAAATGTGTCTTTAATTTAGAGAGAAACATTTCTACAAATTTAAGGTTCTGTGACCAAGGAAGAGAGAACAACCTTGGAAAGAAAAGGGCAGTCCCAGCCACAATGATCATTACAGTTTTCTTTACAGTTTTCTTTAGGGTCTAGTAATACTTAATGTCGTTTTTTAACATTCGTTTAAAATCTTGCTTGGCGTTGACTTGTATTGACATAACCTTCAAACACGTGGTATCTACAGAACGTGTGAAGTGCAATTAACAAGTTTTGCTTGAAAAAGTTTGTGTTTGGTTTGGTTTTTGTTTCAAAACTAGGGCTAAGAAGATGGCGGATGAAGAGCATATTCGGCACTGCATGCTTTACGAGTTCCAATTAGGAAGAAAAGCAAGTGAGGCTGCAGAAAACATCTGTAGTGCTCTTGGTCAAGATGCATTTAGCACCAGAAAATGCCAGCGTTGGTTTGAGAAATTTCGCGAGGGAAATTTTTCGTTAGATGACAAGAGTGGTCGAGGCCGTGTGTCCAATTTTGATCAAGAAGCTCTTCAAGCTCTTTTGGTGCAAAATCCTCAAATTACCCAACAAGAGCTTGCGACAACTTTCAATTGTTCACAAAAAACAATTTCCAATCAATTGCGTGCACTTGGCAAAGTCCAAAAGTTTGGAAAATGGGTTCCTCATGAGTTGACCGACAACAACCGTAATCAAAGAGTCACAATTTGCAGTTCGCGCCTCTCTCATCAAAACCGTTTGCCGTTTTTAGAGCAAATTGTTACCGGAGATGAAGAATGGGTGCTGTATGCTAATTTGAAAAGGCGGCCTCAATGGTTGGACAAAAATGAGGCTCCGCAGCCCACACCAAAACCTGACTTGCATGCGAAAAAAGTGATGTTGTGTGTTTGGTGGAATTTTAAAGGAATTCTTCATTATGAACTTTTACCATCTAACCAAACCATTACAAGTGCAGTGTATAGTGCCCAATTGGAAAGGTTAGCCCAAGCTTTAAGAGAAAAAGAACCCGTGCTGATTAATTGGAAGGGCGTAATTCTTCACCACGATAACGCACGACCGCATACTGCAAGAATCACTGCTGAAAAACTGCGCCAGTTGGAATGGGAAGTTCTCCCTCAACCTGCATATTCTCCTGATATTGCCCCTTCCGATTACCATTTGTTTCGTTCTTTGCAAAACTTTCTTCTTGGAAAGAAATGTAATAATGAAGAATGCCTCAAAAATGCATTGACCGAATTTTTTGCATCAAAATCACAAGAATTTTACAACAGAGGGATTAAAATGCTTCCTGAGCATTGGGCACAAGTAGTAGAAAACAATGGCAACTATATTGTTGATTAAATTTTGTTGTATTGTTTAAATAAATTTGATTTTAAAAAGTATTAGAAAACGACATTAATTATTACTAGACCTATAGTAGAATAACGGACACAACCTAAATGACTTAAAGAATAAACAGTTACAAAATGTAGTATGATCATATGTTAAATATACTCTTGGTGTTTAAACTATTCATGTAGACTGCTTTTCATTGACATAGAAAATTATTCATGATACATTTCTGAGAGGGAGAAAAGCAACTCAACATTGATCATGGATTCACATTTGTAAAATCACATCTGAAAATATTTCTTTTAACGTTTACAATGGTTAGATAACCACTGTGGTTAGTACTTTTTTGTGTAATTTTACTTTGTCCTTTATTCTTTCCTACGCTTTGAACTTTTTACAACTTTTTACAATGACTATGCGATGATCATACGGATGATGACTGTGGGAATAAAAAGACACTGAATGAAATTGCTACAGGATTCCAGGGAAGGAGGAATAGGGAAACTGAGATAGGAAAGTTAAAACAAGGCCAAAGAGTGTGGGCAGTTTGCAGCCAGCTTGTAACTATCGATAATAAGACACCTGAGAGCAAATGGTTAAAAACCTCCCTTGTGAAAGAATAGGGAAAGGGGGAGGGGTTGGGGGAGAGGGTAAAAGAAAAAGGGGGAAGTTTTACTCCCAGTGGTTGGCAAACTCATTAGTCAACAGAGCCAAATATCAACAGTACAACGATTGAAATTTCTTTTGAGAGACAAATTTTTTAAACTTAAACTTCTCCTAATGCCACTTCTTCAAAATAGATTCGCCCAGGCCGTGGTATTTTGTGAAAGAGCCACAGTCAAGGGGCCAAAGAGCTGCATGTGGCTCTGACCACAGCCCTAAGCAGAGGAGCCAGCAGTCTCAAGGCTTGGCAAGATAATGTTAGCAGGTGCTTCTCATGAATTCTGGAAGGTCACAGCAAAGTAAAAATAGGACGTTGAGACTAGATCTATGCCAAAATATTCAGCAGCAGGATTTTGAAACCTATAGACAAGAGGATATATAATGCCTCAAACCCTCACCCAACTTGCTCTTCAGGTTAGCTTAGAGCTCTTCATAAGCCAGATGTATAGGTTTGCTTACTTGCTTTGCTTTTTCAATAAAGGTGCAGGCTTTAATTGCTTTGATAAATTGGCTTTTCACAAGGCAGTCAAGGTCTCTCGTATAAATTCATTCAGATGAGAAGTCAAGGATCGAGGTGGGGACAGTCCTCTCCCGGTGACTCAGAGGGCTGTCCCATAACACCGCACTGGTGACAGTGAGAGGTGCCTGGGACAAAATTATCTCCATTCATCAAAAAGGTCACCGCAAAACTTTCCCTTTGTACAGAATCTGCAGCCAGTGGGGTTTCTAGGCTCCCTGTGATACCCGTTTCATTCTGAAAATATTAAACTGCCCTGAACATCAGTTTGTAAGTAGCATGGCGATCGCAAACAATAACGAGGACTGTTTGTCAAAATCCTTATTTGCTTTCTTGTCTTAGACGTCTAACTTTCGCAAGTCTGGGTTTTGTACCATCTCTACTTCTCTTTCTATGAGTTCTTAGTATTCAGTAGAAAAGAAATAGGGATTCTATTAATACCTTCTTATGTTTATGTGTTATTGGCAGTCACTAATTTTCCAGGTAGTCATTACCCCTATTTTTATTCTGTCAGGTACAATCATATGTGAGACTTTGTCTCATAGGATATTTAAAATACATCCTCCTTTTCTACGTGAAAAGCAAGCCTTTTGCATTGTTCCCTGTAACTCTGAAATGAGTATAATAATGACTCCTTTACTAATTTAAAAGAGCATTCTGAAGGTAAGATAAGGTCATTCTAGGAAATGTTTTGCAAGTTAAAAGTAGCATTTATTATACTGGGACAGGCTGGCTTATCTTAGAATCGAGGGGCTTATGCAACATTAAGCAGAAGCAGTCTCCTCCGGTGCTGCCCACAGCACCTGCAGCCAACGGAGCCAAACAGGCTGGTTGCTACTTCAAAGGGAGCAAAAAATTGGGGACAGCAGGTGTTACAAGAATGAGCACTCAGTCACTAATCCAGAAAGCCATCATGAAAAACAGCCACAATTTCTTGCATCACCTTCTTGGTAAACTTTAATTTATTGTGTAAATGTATTGCAATAAAGGATTACATAAAAAAAAATAGGTCATCCATGATGTTCTTACAATATCACTTTGCAAGAAGCTCACTAATTCCAAATAGCTGAGAACTAAGTATTTTAAACTCCTCGTGGAAGAAAAAAAAGAAATTCTAACAATTAAGGATAAATACCTCTTTTTTTATTTAAAGCAAAAACACAGCCTGCTTATCAAAGGGGTCACTCTGAAAACACACACACACACACATTATATAATCTCCTTTGAAATGACATCTGGCTTAACCTCCATTCTCACAGGTGGAGAGAACTGGGGTAGTGCATTCTGAGCCTGCCCTTCGTGGCAGTTGGATTTCCTCTGAATTGGGCTGAATTCAGTCGTGCCTGGGGGACATTAGGGGCTCCTCTGGATTGGGCCTCCTGTTCAGCACCTGGTGAAGCTTATATTGCCTTGGTAACCGAGCCTAAACCCCTTCTGAGCTTTGAAAAGGGTGATTGATGCTTATTGATTTACCATCATTTGGGTGAATTGTGGTTTTTCTCACCATGTAGATGAGTTTTTCGCTTTTCTTTTTTTCTACTAACGGGATTTGTGAGGTACATACAACCGTGCATTCTTTATAACCCCCTATGTACACATAGACTTGTTTCCCAAGGTGTTGTTTTCCGTATATTTCCAGCCCCTTTTGTGAGCTTTGTCCACCTTGAGGGCAGCCTGTGCACCTGGGGTGGAGATGCACAGGCAGACCCACCACGAACACTTTTTCAAGAATCGGATGCCTGGGCACCACACTGGGCTTTGATCACTAGTGAATTCAATCACAATCTTCTTATACCTTAAAGTTTCCATCTCTCAAATGTTGTGGGCTTTAAATGTGCCACCAGGGTATTTACCTGGGACTTGCTTAGACTTTTTAGAGGAAATTTTACTTTTGTGGTATTTTTGCAGAAAGCAGTATTGTGCTTTGTTATTATTGTCGTAATAACCACTGACATCTGTTTTCTTCCTTCTCCTAGCTGCGTGAGTTCTGTGTCGTACGTGGATGAACCTAGCCAGCATGACGCTGCCTCTCACCTCACCGTTCAGATGGAAAACACCTATCAGCTGGGTGTGTTATTTTATCACTCTCTTCTGTGTTAAACTTCTGATTCCGTGAATGATGTTTACTTAAACTAATATTTGATAACCGGCATTATCTTCAATGCTAGTACAATGTAAGGAATCATAATTGAGTGATGGATGCTGCTGTAATTTCTCTTCTTTTCTTTCCTTTTCTTTTCTTTGAGTGTCATCACCCCAAACTTTAATTTTGTAAGAGTTCTCCACAACACCATCTCTGCAGGACAAAAGGCTGCAGTTCTTCATGTGGGGGGCCAGGCTTTCTCCTTGGGGAGCAGTGTGGCTCCATGTAGATAGCTGGACAGAGTGCAACTTGGCAAGACAAGGGACAAGCTTTTCCTAACCAGGAATCTCAGGGAATGCCGCCTGACTCCCAGGGGCTGAGGCTGGCAGGCTCAACCCCAAAGGATTCACAGCTGATTCAGGCTACCTGAGCCCTGGTCAGCTCCCCTCCCCTCCACGGGAAGAGGGAGGACTGGGGCCGTGGTCCGCAAACTCATTAGTCAGCAGAGCCAAATATCAACAGTACAACGATTGGAATTTCTTTTGAGAGCCACATTTTTTAAACTTAAACATCTTCTATAGCCACCTCTTCAAAATAGATTCGCCCAGGCCTTGGTATTTTGTGGAAGAGCCACACTCAAGGGGCCAAAGAGCCGCATGTGGCTTGCGAGCCGGCAGTTTGCCGACCACAGGACTGGGGTAATGGAGAGGAATGGGATTGGGGGAGACTCATCTTAAAGAAATCTGGGATTTGGAAGGGTCACCTGTGTGGAGACAGGTCAGGGCTGGATCTCTTCACCCCATCTGGGGGTCTGCTGGTGCTCATGCAGAACCACTTACGACCCTTCTGAAGGGTCTGCTTTCCTTTGTCAGTGGTTCCTCAACACCAAGCAATTCGCTGGGCAGCACTGCTGAATACTGGGACTGACTGAAGTCAGAAGTCCATTGAGTACTTGGGGGGATTATCTTGTGGAGTTATTTTATATCTACTTGAAATGAAGTGTATATGTAAAACAGGAAATAAAATTGCTATGCATTAAAGTTTTATCCAACAAAACCAACCAATGCTGTTGATAGGTGGGGGAAAAAAGCCTTTAAGTCAAAGGCAAATGATGCTGGGTCCCCTGTTGACAGAGATGTTTATCCCTGCACACTGAGGTTTTAGATCTTTGAAAACAAAGATCTTTGCACCTGCCCCTGAACTCCCAGGGGAGTCCACAGTGAATATCTTTTCCCATTCATGTTTCCTTGTAGACCTACTTGTTTTCTCTCAATGCGTCCCTGCCCACTATTATCTGGATCCATATATAATTACTGCTATATAGAAATTCCGCAGAGACTTTCCAATGACCAAAGAAAGACCCTCTGGGCCAGAGCAGTTCCATCTGTGCCAGTTAACCTCGTGAAAATTATAGACCATCCGCGCATCCCATTAAGCCTTGTAGCTGGGTTTCTACAAGTAATCCCCAAGACTACATGGATTACAAGGCTCCATAATTAGTCAGTCTACTGGTATTTTCATCATGCTGTGGTAGACAATGAATATGCCTGCCACCCAATGCACTTTTACACTTCTCATAACCTTACCCAGTTTTTTGGGGGGAGTCATCATTACCACTTTGAGTCCCTAACATTCTGCTGAAGCTGATCCTAGCTTCAGAGATTGCTAGTGACTGATTTTGGGATGGCATACATAGACTCTTTGATTGGTCAAGTCAATCAAAACCTTGATATTCAATTCAGAAAATGTTTGGCTGTTGAAGAAGCAGACCGGGCCCTGAAGCCTTAAAGAATGTAGAAGCTGTGACAGCTTTTGCTCTCTTGCCCTCACAGGAAGCCTAAAACCAAGAGAGAATTTACATCCCAACGTCATCGTTTGAATCCTTAAGTCCAAAGTACTCTGGGGCTTTTTAGTTAGGCAAGCTAAGTTTAGGTTAGGTTTTCACCCACTAGTAGCTAAAAGATCTTTGCCATTCCATGCCTATGATTTGGGGTTCTACATACTGAAAGGGTTTGGGTCCGATTTCAACAAGATAAAGGAGCTGAAATATGAAGCCATCTGTTTCTCCTTCCTAGGACATATTATTTTTATGACTTATTTATTCAAATAAATGGGCTAAATTGTCTTATCAGTTTTAGAAGTATTGGATGTTGAACCAAGTTAGAAAATTAGCCTAAAATATGGTGACAAAAGATGGTTTTACTTTGGTTGGTGGGCACACAGTGCAATATACAGATCTTGTAACAGAAATCCACACCTGAAACTTACATGTCACCCCAATAAATTTAACTTTTTAAAAAGAGGATAGAAAAGAAATTTTCCACATACCTTAATATGTATAATATTTTCCATATATGTTTACAAAACTTGTGTGAATTATTCTCCTATAATTATTCTTTTGTGCTTGACAATTTTTAAGCATTCAACTAGCCATTTTATTAAAAATCAAAAACATATTTCTACTTCTGTTTTTTCTGGATTTATTTTGCACATGAAAGATACTCTGTGGGCCTTGGTAAAGATTTTCTCATATCTACAAAAGGCAATACTGACCAGATTAGTGGGGGTGGGAGATCAGTCAATCACCAGCATTATTGTGTTTAATATTTCACATTCTATAAAAAAATATTTGTATAATCTAAACATATCTTAAATAGTTAACATGTTTGCCCTCCCTTTATCTGAGTAATTACAGCTGCCTAGAGTGAGATGAAACATGAATGTAAATTAATGAAGTGAAAAAAAGGGAATGATAAAATAAATGCATATATTTCTTGTAATGAAATACCATTTACATATGCTCATTAATTAATTATTAAAACATGTATATAGAAAAAATACAGTCTATAGGATCCAATATATCTGAATTTCAATACTAGTTTTGCCAAATCCTAAATAAATGGTGTTCAAGCAAGGTATTTAGAATCCTTGAATCTCAGTTTCTTCATCTATAAATAGGGATAACAGTCCACACATCAGATGGATATTATGAGAATTAAATGAAGTAATGTATTTACATTGCTTCTCCATTCATTATGCTATTGCTTCTCAAGATGACTGCCTCTAAGACTTTACCTTGGATCAAGAAAAAGAAAAGCCTTCTATGACATCCAGTATAATTTCCTATTAAGTATGGAATGAGTTCTCCATGGTCCTTTTTTGGAGCAATGATTAAAGAGGTACTTGATTCTTTAAAAACACTGACTGAGCAGCAAGTCAGACGAGACTCATTGGTGGCCATATTTGCTGCACATTGAGACAGCCTGTGTGAGGATGAAGCCAACATAATGGAAAGTTGACTTTTAAGATGAAGAGAGAGAGAGACATCATTGGAGCTCACCTTCTGTGAGAACATCAGGCATCAGATGTGTTGTTGGACAGAGCCCATGAGTCTCAGTTCTGACTTCAGCCCACCCTGAGGAGACCTTCTTCTTCCCTACGGACACCCTCACTGATCTCGCTGCCTTCTCAGCACCAGCACTCCCTTTCCTTCCTCAGAATAAGGTAGTAACAACAACAACAACAACAACAACAACAACAACAACAACAATGTATATCTAACTAGAGGCCCGGCGCATGAAATTTGTGCACAGGGGTGTGTGTCCCTTAGCCCAGCCTGCACCCTCTCCAATCTGGGACCCCTTGAGGGATGTCTGACTGCCAGTTTAGGCCCAATCCACCTATATTGGGTCTAAACTGGCAGTCAGACATCCCTATCACAATCCAGGACTGCTGGCTCCCACTGCTCGCCTGCCTGCCTGCCAGCCTGATCACCCTCTAACCACTCCCCTGCCAACCTGATTGATGCCTAACTGCTCTTCTGGCAGCCTGATCACCCCTAACTGCCCTCCCTGCCAGCCTGGTCACCTCAACTGCCCTCCCCGATAGGCCTGGTCTCTCCCAAATGCCCTCCTCTGCCGCCCCGGTCTCCCCCAACTGACCTCCCCTCAGGCCTTGTTCCCCCCAACTGTCCTCCCCTGCTGGCCTGGTCTCCCCAACTGCCCTCCTCTGCTGCCCCTGTTCCCCACAACTGCTATCCCCTGCAGTCCTGGTGTTCCCCCCAGCCCCCCGCAACTATCCTCCCTTGCAGGCCTTGTTCCCTCCAACTGCCCTCCCCTGCAGCCTGGTTCCCTCCAACTGCCCTCCCCTGCAGGCCTGGTCACTCTCAACTACCCTCCCCTGCTGGCCTGGTAACACCTAACTGCCTTCCCTTGACAGCCTGATTGCTCTCAATTGCCCTCCCCTATAGGCCTGGTCTTCCACAACTGCCCTCCTCTACTGCCCCTGTCTCCCCAAACTGCTCTCCCCTTCAGGCCTGGTCACCCCCAACTGCCCTCCCCTTCAGGCCTGGTCACCCCCAACTGCCCTCCCCTGCAGGTCTGTCTCCCCACTACCTGCCCTCCCCTGCAGGCCTGGTCTCCCCCAACTGTTGTCCCTTGCTGGCCTGATTGTTCACAACTGCCCTCCACTGCAGGCCATCTTGTGGTGGCCATCTTGTGTCCACATGGGGACATCCATCATTGACCATGTGGCCATCTTGTGTGTTGGTGTGACAGTCAATTTGCATATTACTCTTTTATTAGATAAGGATGAGTGTGGGAGGCTGAGGGAGGCACTGTTGTAAGCACTTTAAAAAGTTCAACTCATTTAACCCTAACAAAAAATATTTGGTCATTATTATTACATCAATTTTGGGAAACTGAGACACATAATTAATAACTATCTATTCTCTCATCTATTTTTATGGACAAGTTTTCCCCTTTTTCTTTGTTTTTTATCCATCAGACCTACTTCAGGTCCTTGATTTTTTATTTCTAAAAAAATGTTTCCCTTCTAAAGAAAAAAAATCTCTCAAAAAGAAAAAAGAAAGAAAGAAAGAAAGAGCTTTGGCATTCACATCCCTTGACTCTGAAAGCAGCTTCAAGGAGCTTATTTTGAAAGTCAAAAGCTGAACACTGACAATCTCCTTCTCTTTGCATCTCAGCATCCCTGCCTGAGCAAGGCAATAATGATTGTGGCTGTATAGGGGGAAAGTCACAAAGGTGAGAAAAGCTCATTACTATAGAAAAGCTCATTCTATTTCAAAATAGAATCTGGTTGATGAGATTATTTAAAAATAAATAAATAAATAAATAAATAACCAAAGTGCAGAAAAGACATGGGTCCATCTGGATAACAGGAGCTACTGGAGACAGGCTCACGTGCCCCCAGCAGTCTGTCTCTCCAGCACCAAACTGTGTGAGCGCCTCCTCTCCCAGTGTCTGGATTCCTTCCCACTGTGAGAAACGGGCCTCCAGCAGCTCCTGAGGGTCACATGGCGTAACTTTGCCACAGAAAGAGCCTGATCCTCTCCTACTCCCCATCAAGTTTTAAATAAAAATTCTAAGAAGGGGCTCTAATTGGCCTGGCTTGGAGCAATTGTTTCCTCTGGGCCAATCCGCCATGACCTGGCCTTGGACTCAAAAGAGGCAGTGGGAGATCCTAAAGAACCACGTGGTCAGTGTAGGAAGAGGACCAGTTCTTGGAGAGAGAGAGAGACGCTGTTCCCAAATGGCAGGGAGGTGTACGAGGCAGACAGGCTTCTGCACCGAAGGGGTTTACTACTTTCTGAAGGCAGCCATGCATATGGTCATCATAGCACATGACCAAGTTAAGCATCATGTGGGTGATGTAGTTCAAACAAAAGGTATGTATGATAGGAGTGCTTGGTAGGAGGCAGTGAGAAAGAGAGAGGTATGGATCTAAAGGATGTAACCTACTTAATTTAGTCTAATCTGGCAGTCCATTTTAAAATTTCTTAAACAGAAAGGGGGGAATCATTCCCAGAATTAGCCTCATTTTACTAGAACATTTGAGGAGAAATCGAAAAGATCCACAGAAAGGGACACTGAGGTCTATGGTACTGGGAGCTTGCCTACAGACTCATAAAGCAGGAGTAATCAAGACCAACCTTTCACAGGTTTGTAACTGCTTCTCTCTGTCTTGTGGAACAGAGATTCCTGCTAACGATTGGGGTTAATTATCGCACCCATTGGGTCAGGTGTCCCTGTTTTACATGTTCAGATGCATTCCCCACAAGAATATAAATTTAATTGAACAATTTCTATACCATCATCAAAATAAAAATACTATTGATTGAACCTCAGGAGGCTGACCTAACTCAGCCACAAGCATGGGCTGTAACCATCTGGTTCAGTTCAGCCAATGGGAAACTTGCTTCAGAAGCCATAGGGTGGAAGGATCGTGAGCTGGGTATATTTTTCCCTCCACTCTGCCCATGGGTTCATCTCAGGCTGTTTGTATCCATCCACAGAAGGACATAACTGCTCTCAAGGGAGCCTGTCCACATGCCTCTTCTAGGATCTAAGAAGAGTTCCTTTCTCATATCCCTCAAGCCAGGGATAGGATGAGGGCAATACCTTCACTTTCACTAACCTAGAGGTGGTTTCCTTGAGATTTCCTACATCCTGCTCAGACCTCTCAAAGGACTCCCTTAGTAAGCCCTCCTGGAATTGTCTTAACTTCAGTGTGCCATGTGTTCCCTTGGGCCCTGACCGATACAGTCATTAAAAATAAACACTGAGAAGATACTGATGACTGTTCAAGAAGAATTTGATATAATTCTTGATCTCATCCATTTATCCATATCAATTCAGCAAACAATGATCGGGCCCCTGTAGCCCAGGCCCTGGGCACATGGTACACATTGTAGAGTGACAGAAAGACAATGGGGTTAATATTCCCAGGAGGTACAGGCAAGATCCTGGAGTGCCAGGTAAAGAAGACCCAACTGGCCGAAACCGGTTTGGCTCAGTGGATAGAGTGTCGGTCTGCGGACTGAAAGGTCCCGGGTTTGATTCCGGTCAAGGGCATGTACCTTGGTTGGGGGCACATCCCCAGTGAGGTGTGTACAGGAGGCAGCTGATCGATGTTTCTCATCAATGTTTCTAGTTCTCTATCCCTCTCCCTTCCTCTCTGTAAAAAAATCAATGAAATACATTTTTTTAAAATAAAAAAAGAAGACCCATCTGAAGCTCCTTATCTGAACATGGACTAACTGTGGTTAAGAGCAGTTGAGTCAGATAAACATGGGGCATCCCAGCTCTGCCACTGTGTGATTCTGGACAAGTTACACAATGCATTTAAACCTCGCTTTCCCATCTGTGAAAGGGAGATAACAGTAAGATTCACCCCAGAGATTACTGGAAGGTTATATAAGGTGACAAGTATGAAATTCTTATCATAGTGCCTGATGTGTAAAAAATGCTCAGTAAAAGTAGCCATGACCTGTACCATGATTATTAGCTCTACATGTTTGATTCTGTCTTATTTCAGAAGTCATAAATTAAATATTTCTTACACTATTAGCATTGTATTAGGCTCTGAAGAAGGTAAAAATCTGGCCAACCTTATCATTTCACTGGGCAGAAAGGAAGGTGTGCCTTAGGAGCCAAGATCGTGGTGGGGTCCCGGTGCACTGGGAGTGCAGAGAAGGGAGGGATGGTTTTTACCTGAAGGGAGGAAGAAGGCGACCTAGAGAAGACTTCTGAGCTGGCCTTGAGACACATTAGTGGATATTTCTCAGATGAACATGATGGGAAAGGATGTTCCATATTAAGAGAGAGAGAGAGAGCAAGAGAAAATGTACAAGCAGCTTTATAAGACAGATGAAGTCCATGAGGTGGAGCAGCATCGTGCAGAGACTGTGATGCTGGGAGAAGAGGTGCAGGTAGGGTGGGAGCTGAATGTTAGACCTTGCTAAGGGAAATACCACGGTACGATCTGGGATTTAAGACCTAGAGACATGGAAACATCTAGCAAACTATAAAACCTCAGAGAGAAGGTGGAGAGGGGAAGAGATTAATTAACCAATGAATTCATATGGGTTGGGAGAGATCAATGGGGGAGGGGGGCTATAACACTTTCAACAATTGAGGTTTAAAACAAAGAATGGCCCTGAGAACATAGTAAACAGCAAAAATTAAAAACGATCTGGGATTCAGAGCGGTCCATCCCGTTGCAGTGTGGTAGTAGAAGCAGAGAGAGATGTTGAGCCTTGGACGTAGGTCATTAATAGTGGGAACTGTTTAGGTAGTCTGTAAATGGAGGAGACTATTGTCTTATTCTCTGCCAGAGAACTTGACTGAAAGCCTAAGAATACCATTTCTCCTTTAATGAAGGCCACACAGAAGGTTAAATGTCTCTCCATGTTTCAGAACTCTTAATTAGCCTGTGAGGTGGGTGGGTATGATATAAAATGACTTCTTAGCCCAGGCCACTCGGCTAAGTGGCTCACTTGGTTGGACATCCTTCTATGCATCCAATGGTGGCCGGTTCAATTGTGATCAGGGCACATGCCCAAGTTGCTGGCTAGATCCCCAGTAGGGGGAGTGCAGGAAACAGCTGATAGATGTTAAGCTCTCATATGGATATTTCTCTCTTTTTTCCAGTGTCTCTAAAAAGTCAATAAACTATTTTTTAAATAATAAATGCATGCATACATACATGCACACATAAATATAAACAAATAAATAAAATGACTTCTTAGGAAGAAATTTTGTCTGTATTTTCAGGTCCTACCGAACATTTTCCTGTGGCTATTGTCAATCAAATTCTGAAAGATGTGTTAACTAACTACCTACAAGAACAACAATATGACCCAGAGCTCTGTAGACAGATGGCTAAGACAATTTCTGAGGTAATGTGTGATTTGTCTAAAGAGTTAACTGTAACTAGAATATTTTCAGAGAGCACAACCCCCTACTTTTTGAAGAAGGCAATTCATTTGCAGTAGCAGTACAAATGCTTATTTATATTTTATTTTATTAAAATATTTATTAGGTCATATTCTATCTCTGTGTAAGAGCCTTTGTCTGAAACAATCATTATGGGCATCATTTGCATGTATTTCATTTTAAAAAATGTATAAAACTGCCCCCCGTTTATTTTTTTTAATTATTGTAAAAGATTTTTTTAAAAATTAATGATCATTTCTCTTCCCCAAGGCAGCTTTGATGGACATCAAACACAGACATTGTGACCTTTAAATTAAGTACATTCATTTCTATTTTTATCAGTGAAAGTGCTGGCACTCTATCAGATTTTCTCGGTTTGCTTTTTTATAACAAAGTCTTTAATGAGCATTTATGATTAGTCATATTGCAGGAGACTCCAGATTTATGGCCTCTTAATTAGACATGAGCAAGATGGTGTGACTCTAATGCCAACATTCTTTGAAAGGAAGCCATCTTAACATAAATTTTCCAAAGAATATAATAACTCCATTAAATTCTGTTTTCTGGATTACAGTTTTCTCATGCGCCTGAGGAAAAAATGTACATTTATTGCTGGTGCTGTCTTTTTGTCCCTAAATGTCCTTTCTCATGAGGACAGAGCTTGAAGCAAATCATAGTTATCGTCACTAATAGTTACTAATCGACAACAATTAATGACAGTATCTACAATGGATCATGCTATTCTCTTAAATTAAATCGATTATATTTATGACAATGAATATTTATGACAGTGCAGCTAAGTGAGAACCATTTTTTTTTTCTTTCTTTCTTTTTAAATTCTAGGTTATTAAAGCCCAGGTCAAGGACTTGGAGATCCCACGGTACAAGCTGATTGTGGTTGTTCACATTGGCCCTCGGCGTGGCCAGAGCATCCTGATTGGGAGTAGATGCCTCTGGAATCCTGAAAGTGATACCTTTGCCTCTCATGTTTTCAGGAACTCTTCACTCTTTGCTCTTGCGAATGTCTATGCTGTTTACTTTGAGTGACTGAAAATAAGAAATCATAGACTGTGTCTAACTACTCAAAAGTTTTACTGACTAAAGGTTTGGGAAGGGAACATTAATACTTCAAACAACTGGAAGATTTTGAAGTTTTTAATACTCTTTTAAAGGTTGAGGGTGGGGAGCGTGGCACAAGAAAGAATCTTATTTATCTCAAGGAGGAACTAAATCTTGGTTCTGCTGGGTTTTTTTTTCATAGACATAGAGTCTTATTAAATATTGCTTTGGGTATTAATTATTTTAATTACTCTTCCATTAAAGAGCTGTAATTTTCTGCATTATTTTTTAAGGAAGAAAGGTTTTTTTTTAAAAAAAAAAAATACATGGCTACATACCCTGACCAATAAGCGACAGTAGGATATTTAACATGGCATACACAAATGACTAATGTTAATATGTCTCTGTGCTGCATATAAAAAAATACTGGCTTCCATTTTCTATTTAATAAATTGAGCAGCATTCATTAACTGCAATTATTGTTACATGTACCTGACAGTTGAAACTGCTGAGGTAGAATTAATGATTTCATAACAATTACTGTAGTCCCGCGGGGCTGCTAGATGAAACTGGAAGCTCTTGTGGGCTGCCTGCACTCCACAGAATTGTGGGAGAACTGAATGTTGGCTCTTCAATAATGGAAACATAAAGTGAATAAAGCCTTTTCCAGGCACTGAAGTAATCGTTGTGACATTAAATATGCATGATGCTTAATAGTAAATGTATTTGTGACACATGAAATCGTGAATTCGAAAGAGACACTGCTTTTAAGTATACACTGCTCGCGGTGAGCCTTTGAGGAGGTCTTCCTAAGCTAACAAACTTGCCCACAAAATATAGCGCTGGCAGCCCAACACGTCAGACGTGTGTGTTTACTATTTTGTTCTTGTGAATTTACAAGTGATCCGGTGCGGTTTTCAATGGATGGCACTAAAATTTATAGCGCTGAAAGAGCTTATTATTCTGCTTGTTAATGTAGCTTGGGCCATGGATCATTTATTTTTATGGAGCTTTCAGCGTGTAAACTGATGCCGGGCCATTGTTCTTGGATGGTAAGTGGACTGCCCGGAGGACATTAGTTAAAGGTCAAAGACAAATCGTGCACATATGGAGAAAATTAGCAACACCGAATCCAAAGGAAAAAATGATGTGTAATTCATACCAAAAAGAATTTAACAAGCAGGGAAACAGTCGGTTCTGTATAGTTTTAAAATGTATCGATGTTTCATTTTTCACCCAAACCACATTTACTTTTAAAAATCGCTTGCCTTCTGCTCGCTCTGGCTTTGAAGGTAGCTTTTCAAAATGAACTGGTCAGTTTTTGTTATTTTTTCTGTTAGAGCCTTAGAGGGGAAAATGTCTGTAATAATTTATCACAACCAATATTTGTCAATCTCCATAGACCAGTTTTGAATCTGGATTATGTCATAAAAACAGTAAGTAAATGAGCTTCATATTTTCATTACACACTTGAGAACATCTCCCCGCTTGGAACAATAGCAGTGACAATCATAGAGCAATTATGCATGACTAAATAAGAATGAAGGAAATTATTTAGTATGTAGAGAGTCCATTATTTTAAAAATGGCTTTTTTTTCTTTTCTTTTTTAGTTCTAAAATCTTATCCATGAGATTTTCTTACCATCTGTCCCAGGCTGTGTTAGGAATCAAACCTTAAAACATGTGCCCAGCCGGCATGGCTCAGTTCAATTCCTGGTTGGGGCTCGTGCCCACAGGGTTGTGGGTTCCTTCTCTGGAGAGGGGCAGGCAGGCGGCAGCCAAGAAATGATGCTCTCTTATCATTGATGTTTCTATTTCTCTCTCCCTCTCCCTTCTTCTCTGAAATAAAATTTAAAAACAAAAAACAACCATGATGGCTGTTAAAAAGCAAAAAGGAAGCAGTTTGCCAGCATATTGCCATTTTCTGTATGTAATTCAGATGGTCAATGATGAACTTTAGCGATTTTTAGTAATATAAAAACATGTAGTAAAAACTCACTGCCTGTGACTAACTGGGAAGAATGCTGGTTATCACAGAAAGCCTGGTGGTAGGAAATGCTGATGGATGTGTTAGCTAACACCGAGGTGGTAAGCACATTGCTTATACAAATGTGTCCAAGCAACATGTCACTCACCCGAAACTTACACAATATTAGGTCCATTATATATCAATTTAAAAATTAAACATTTTCTTTAAAAAAAAAAAAAAAAGACACTGTAAATTTGAGGGAATGGTTTTACTTTGAAACATCCTGAATTTCCCTGGTACTTTTCCTTCTTGATACTTGTCCCTAAAGTGCCATCCTTCCGCCCCCTTTGCTTATGCCTTTCCCTTCCCCACACAGCAACTTTCTTCACTTTTCAGCAGTAAAGGCAGGTCTCACCTTTTCTCTACATTCTTCTCCACCCATTCTTTTCCTCCAGTTCTCCTCTCACCACTCTCACAGTAGAGCTCCTGATTATCCTCTAGCCGCTTTTTGAATAATAAGTTTTGTTTCCCTTACTACATTGAAAACATCTTGAATACATGGACCACACATCCTGACAGCACCTAACAATAAAATTTAGTCCATCTGAACTTTTGGAGTAAGGATCATAGGAAGGCACTATACTACCTAACTCCCAACCACTGAAGACACTAGTATGCACCACTTAACCCTAGAGGGACTAGCATCCTACCAGGATGATGAGTATACAAGTGACCACAGTACAAGCAAGAATATGATTTTATAAGAAAATTCCAGTATGTATTGTAATAAGGGAATCAGGAAAAGATTCCTGAAGGAGGTTCACTTACCTAGTCCATGAAGGGGATAAGTAGAATTTCAACAGACAGAGGAGGTCCTAATACGGCAAAAAGTCTAGCCTAGGTAAAAACTAGTGTTTGTAAAGATAAGCGGTCAGAACTAAAATGGGAAGGGCTTGTGGGTGGTAAGCTGAATGTCTGGCTTAGAAAGCAACGCTCCGACCATGGGTAGTCATTGAAGGCTTTTCGTCCAGCTAATGGCAGTTATGAAACAATTTCTTCAGAGAAGTCCACCAGTAGAGATGGGGACACTGAAATGGAAAACAGGACAGTTGCACAATCAGGCACAAGGGAAGAGTACCGTATTTTCCGGCGTATAAGATGAACCCCTAATTTTTACAGTTAAAACGTGGGTTTAAGCCTATATTCGCTGTATAAGACTACCCCCCACTTCCGAGGCAACACCAGTTCTTTTTTTAATAGACCGCCTCTCTGACTCTGGCCAATCTGAGCAGGCTTTTTACTAGAACACAGTGTACATGTTCTGTCCTCGAAGCTAGAACACAGTGTACATGTTCTGTCCTCGAAGCTAGAACACAGTGTACATGTTCTGTCCTCGAAGCTACACTGTGTTCTAGTAAAAAGCCTGCTCAGATTGGCCAGAGTCAGAGAGGCGGTCTATTAAAAAAAGAACTGGTGTTGCCTCGGAAGTGGGGGGTAGTCTTATACAGCGAATATAGGCTTAAACCCACGTTTTAACTGTAAAATTAGGGGGTCGTCTTATACGCCGGAAAATAGGGGTCAGAGGTGACTTTCAGGGAACAGGACAGGTGGCTGAAGATGTGGAGCGCTGGGTGTTTGCTGTCTCAGGTCTGAATCCTGTTCTCCTGCCACTAGTTAACTAACCTTAAACAAATTACCAGCCTCACTTAGCCACAGCCGCCCCTCTTAATGATAATGCTGGTACCTATCTCACAGTGTTTTGGAGTCAGGCCAGTCCCAGGAGACAGAACACTTTTTCAAAGGGAGGGCTATGACGGGCCTGTGAGGTTACAGCCTCTGCTTCCTAAAAACAAGTGAAAATTCATGCTTGCTAGCTCGTAGCAGTACAATGCCTGGTAGGAATCCCTCATCTAAGTGGCTTCATTGATAGGAGTTCAAAGTTTTGAGTCCGGGCAACTAGGTCAACGGTCCTATTGGCAAAACGAAGGGAGTCAGCAAGAAGTGCTGAGGACTGAAGCACTGAGTTTGAGCATGTACTTGTTGAATTGAAGTTAATAAGGGGACATTCCGGTGGAGATGTTCTCCAGCAGCCGAAAAAGTGCAAGTGGAGTTGAGCTACCACATCAAGGTGAGAGGCTTAGACTTGGCAGCCCTCCACGTTGAGGCCTGACATCTCCCTCCGGCTTTATAAAATATTCATTAGTATCAGCTTCTACTGCATAGTCAGTACTAAGAGCAAATTATGGATGAATCTGTTAACTCTGGGGATGTCAGCAGGAAACCCTCCCCCAAAATCAATAGGGAAAATTTCCCCCCGAAGCGAAGTCACTGGTGCCTTCCTTCTTATCTTCACTTTAAAATGTTTCTATAGGATCTGTTTCTGATACCAGACATCATAGGACACGCAAAGGTTCTCTCAAAAATACGTCAGCCTCTTGCAGCAAGATAAATATCACATGATCTCACACATTTGTGGAATATGTCTGTGCTCCTTGTTCACAGGAGCCGTGACCACAGAGTCCAATAGATTATGTGTTGCGAAATGAAGCACTACTTCAGCTCATTGATTAAAACAAACAAACAAAAAAACAAAAACAAAAAAAAAAAACTCTTGAGAATTATCCAGTGTATGGGAGTGATTTAAAAACCAGCAATTGAGAAATTAGAACTTTTAAATCTAGCGTTTTAGAGAATGAGCACTTGCCTTGTTGGGACCATTACCTGACCTGTCTTTCTAGGTATTACTAAAACACTCATTAAGAAAAAGTCAATATTAAATGGTTATTGATCATTTACTCTGCTGTTTTGCTCTCAAATGTTTAAGGAAGTGGCCTGCACCCACAGCCACAGACTTTCTCTGGCTTCCACCTCCTGCAATCAGTCTCACCCCCCTCATCTACCCGTATTGTTTTCACAAACAGCAGACATGGTTCCTCAGGCCAAGTCTGCCAAACATCCCTCCAGCTGCACTCGCAGCAGCTTCCGAATTCATTTCTTTTGAGCAGCAGTGCGATCTAGGATTTTGGTTTTGTT